CCCAGCACTCCAGCTCACCTCAGGGCCAGTTAGCCGGTGATTTTAGTGCAACTCTACCTTAAGAATGGGGACAGCTGACTGTGCTAAAATCACAGGCCGTTTGAGCCATTGATAGGAAGTATGTGCTTGTTTGCTAGTACCACATGTGTCTGGGAGGATGGAGAGATGGTGTCTCAGATCTTGTTCAGTGGATCCTCCTAGAAAGCAAACAGGCTTACCACAGGAACCCTAGGGATCATGGAAGGAACGGGTGATCCCCCAGAATTCATTGTAATTGGATCTAAGGAAGTGCCTGGGTTGGGCCACAGAAGGAGAGGTCAGTGGCTGGCCAGCTGAGGGGGAGAGAAGGCAAGGGAAGAGAGAAAGGGGAGAGAGTCTCCGGCACCCACACCAGCCCATGGCAGAAGAAGGAACTTCAGTGACAGAAGGTTTTCCATTTCCAGAGAGTTCTCAGAACAAGACATAGAGTCTGATGAAGCTTGTGGCCACAGAAGCAGTCCTGCATCCCTGTAACTTTGGCTTATTAAATGAATAAGTGGTATGAAATTACTGGTTAGCCATGCTAATCTTTGACCAGCCAGATACATTTTAGCTGACGTATGTGCAACCTTCCAAAGTCCCACTCCCTTTCTCTACTCAAGTTAGGATGTCCCAGATAGTTCCAACAGAAGCAACTACGACCCTACTGGATAATTTCTAGCTATCTGTATTGCCAAGTAAGATAGATAATGTACGGACTCATCCTCCCACCCCATCCCCTCCACACACACATCAGGGTCTCATATATAGCCCAGGCTGGCCTCAAACTCACACTCACTCTGTATCAGATTCCCGCATGCTGGAATTACAGATGTGCATCTCCTTTTGGTATCCGGCCTCACTTTGCTCTTTGGGCATAAATTTTGAACAGCAGGAAGCGGTGCTTGTGCTTGCTGATAAACGCAGCTCATTCTTTTCCCTGTCTTTGGATGGAGATCAGCCCCTTCCAAGTTTCCAGTCATTCCCAATGGAGGTCTCCCCTCCAGGGGCCTTCTGAGTGTCACTTAGGTGCAGGAGGCATCCAGCCCACATTCTGGTAATATTGCTTGCTCACACACTTTCACTGAAGGCTGTTTTTATTTTGTGACCGTTTTTGTTCTGAGAACAGGTCCTGATATGATTTTATGCTAGCGTTATTTTTATGACACTCTAAAAATTTTTTTAAAGATTTATTTATATCTTAAGAGCATGTGTTTTTCCTGCAATCTGCACACCATGTGCACGCCTGGTGGCCGCAGAGGTCAGAGGGTGGTGCCAGATTCCCTAGAACTGGAGTTGCAGATGGCTGTGAGGCACCACGTGGGTGCTGGGAACCAAACAGGGCCCTCTACAAGAACAACGAGCGCTCTTACTGGCTGAGCCATCTCGTCAGCCCCCTCCCCCCATTAAAAATAAAATTCCAGAAACCCCAGAATTACCCTGAGAAAAGTGAAGGACAAAGGCCTGTTGGGCAGTTGGGCTTGGGGAAGCATGTGAGATGAACAACCAGGCCTTGGGATATTTGTGTCTTAGTAGAATGTTTCCTAAGTCACAGGCTAGGTTTTGTTGGTTCAGGTGTGCCTGCTAAGGGCTACTGGGCCTTAGGGAATGACTCAAGAAGATGATTCCTGGGGCTCATATCTAGGTGTCCTGCCCCCCCCAAGCAATGGCCTAACTGAGCTGTTCCTGTAAAAATGGTTTTTACTGAAGGCCTGACAGGTTTTATATTTATGCAGTAGAGCTGAGATTTGAACCTAGTTGATGTGGGGACAAAGCTATCTTCTATTCTCCATTGAAATCCTCCTTGCAGCAAGGTAGGGGAGAGCTTTGAGTCTGGAAATTCTGGAAAAGGCATCAGTCTCTAAGCAGAGCCCTATGTGCAGTTGAGATTCTAGCCCCATCCCCCACCCCCTGTGATCCAACAGAGGTCCTGGAAACCATATGGAGTTCTATACACACAGGGCATCCCTTACATCCCAGTCCCTGACCAGAGGGAACAGACAGTACAACGTTAGGAAGGATGGATAAGCATGGTGAGTCGCCTTGAAAAGGTGTGAACCAAGATAGGACCACTTGACCCATCTTGGACCAACTCTCCCATCACCATGGTGATAGTAGAAAACTGAACCTTTTCTCGATTACTCATTCAAATTGTTACAAGCACTCTACTTTCTCCTTCCTAAATATTCTTGCCATCTACCATTAATTCTTTTATCTTCACTGGTTTCTGTTCAGACCTCGCTTTGTCTTCTCTGGCCTGGGAGTAAGTGTAAGCATTGTAGCTCAGACAGAAAAGTATCCTGGTAGTCAGGAGCCAAGGAATACCATGAAACCACTATAAGCATAGCAGCTTACAGTTCTGCTCCAGGGAAAAATTTTCCAATGAGAGTATAACAACTCTAGCAGGAGAGGGTTTCCAGGTCGAAGTTGTTACAGCTCTGGTGAAGTGTTTCAGCTCTGCTCCACTAGGAGAAACTTTTGCAGCTCTGTTCAGCTCCACTCTGCTCCAGCTCCAGAGAAAGTTGTTACATCTGGGCCCACTCCCTGGAAAATAGCACATCGTGCAACAAACCTCACTCAATAGATTTATTTGGAAGGAAGAATCCAGGAGGGTGGCTGCCTCTAGGGTGAGAAGCAGCAGCAAATGGACCTGGGTACAGAGATTATATAGGGTTTCTTAGGGGGCTGAGGGTGGAGCTTTCCAGGGTGGCTTTAGATTGGTGGGATTTTGTGGTCTGATTCTTGGGCAAGCTCAAGGATTGGTGGAAATCTATGCTCAGGCCTGGGTGGGATTCTGCAGCCTGATTGGTTCTGGGGTCAAGTCAAGGTCAGTGAGTTTTTCCTTGGCCCAGGTCTCGGTTCTAGTCAGGGGCCGGGTGTTTTTTCCTTGGCCCTCTTCACCCTACAGTAAGGGCCTGTTTCAGAGTAGAAGAAGGCCAGGTGGCACATGCTTTTGATCCCAGCACTCAGGAGGTAGAGGCAGGTAGATCTCTATGAGTTGGAAGTCAGTCTTGTCTACATAATGAGTCTGGTCTACATAATAAGTTTCAGAGCTGCACAGTGAGACTGTCTCAAAAATAAATAAAAATATTTTAAAAATTAAAAAAACCAAACAAACAAAAAAAAAGAGTGCAGGGGGTGGAGACAGGGACTCAGATTGTAGCCCAGGCTGTCCGGGGACCCACTAGATAGCACAGGCTGCTGGTCTGAATTCTCAGTAATCCCCTCGCTGCAGCCTCTCTAACGATGACATTATCAGTATGAGCCACCACCTTGATTGTAATGATCCTTAAAGTCCGCTATCCTGTTGGAGGGAACATTGTACAGTACAGCTCTGAGCATGACTCTGTCAGAACACTCATAGTGACAAACAGCTCCAAGTCCTAACCTCCCTTTCCAACCCCATTCCCTAGCCCCGCTACCGACCCTTCCCAGCATCTCCTTCTGCCTGGCCTTTCAAAACAGAGTCTCCATCTGTTTCCCTGGGTCGTCACCTGTGGCAAGCCCAAGAATGGGCACTTTCTGATACTCTCAGTCACATTTACAGAACCCCACCACGGTCCACCACACTGCCCACATTACAGGTGCCGGGATGACGCAGCCCTGTGAAGAGCTGAACATGTGGGCTGCATGTACTTGGTGCCTAGTAATCTTTTGCTTTTCTCCTTGACAGCATACCCAACACAAGCAAGCAGCTTAAGGAGGGAAAGGTTTGTTCTGACTCCCAGTTTGAGGTGCAGTCTCTTGTGGTGGGGAAATCGCGGAGGCGGGAGCAAGAGCTCACACTGCATTTGCACCCAGGAAACAGTTTACCTTGCTTTCTCCTCTGTGTTTAGTCCCCGACTAGCCCATGGGATGGCTTCACTCATACTCAGGGTGGGTCTTCACATATCAATTAAACCAACCTAGAAACCCCTCACACAAACTCTGTGTTTGATCCTGTCAATTTAACAGTTAAGATCAACCAGCACAACAGTACCCAACACACACACACACACACACACACACACACACACACACACACACACACCTTCTTGCCTGTTACTATCAGTCTATTCAATTCATAACTTGAGAAACAAATGGCCAGTGATCTATAGAAATGGTTCTTGATCTTTCCAGGGCAAACCCCAACGCCCCCCCCTTCTTTGCATTTTAAATCTAGCTGTCTCGGGGTTGCCTATGTGCTAGGTGAATGTCTACTAATGGAATGGATACCTCCCAGGGAAGACCTGCTTAGTTTCAGCCGAGGAACCTGCTTGAGGCCCTGATGTACTACTTGCAGTTATGATGTCTGGGAGCTGAACAAAGTGTCAGTCAGCTAGAGAGGGGGCCATGTGGCTAAAATCCACTTGCAATTGGTCAAGCCCGGGACCAGTTTCTGGTTTGGTCAGCTACATCTGTCCATCCCGCCTCCAGTGACACTGGGTTTCCTACCACCAGGGAAAGACAAAATTAAAAAATATTCAGAAGGCAGAGGCAGGCAGGTATCTGAGAGTTTCAGGCTGGCCTGGTTTATATAGTGAGTTTCCTAGTCAGAGCTGTATAGTGAGACCGTGTCTCAATAATAATAAATATATATATAGGGGTTTTTTTTGTTTTTGTTTTTGGTTTTTCGAGACAGGGTTTCCCTGTATTGTTTTGGAGATTGTCCTGGAACTCGCTCTGTAGACTGGGCTGGCCTGGAAACTCACAGAGATCCACCTGCCTCTGCCTCCCGAGTGCTGGGATTAAAGGTGTGCACCACCAACACCCGGCAATAATGATAATTTTTAAAAACAATCCATAAGCGACCACCTATTGAAATGACAATTGATGTTTATTAACATTGGGCAACCCTCCTTCTTCCGTGTTGGCAATATATGTTCGTTGATTGCTTGCACAACGGCAAGCAGGAAACTGTGTTTCACTCAGACACTATCTAGAGTCAGCCTCACAACCACTCTTGAGGTAGGTGCCACTTTTCCCGCTTCAGAGACGGAAAAATGGAGCTTGGTGGAAGCGAGGTGACTTGCTTAGAATCCTTAGCAAGGAAGCTCAGGAGGGCGGGAACTCCACAGCCCTCCGGGAATCTAGGACTCCGAAGCCCTTTGGCAGGCAACAACTGGCCGGCGGCATCTCCCCCACGCATGCTGGATTCAGGCTCCAGCAGCAAGCTGCCAGGGCAGCGGGCTGCGCTAACCCCCTCCCCGCCTGTAGGCGTGAAGGCCCCTCTGTGGAGGAAGGAGGTGGAGGAGCCTGAGGCCAGGGAGGAGGAGCTGGAGGATGAGTCGTCCTCGTCTTCATCGTCGGAGGTGGAGAGGCCGGACCCGGAGAGCGCTGCAGCAGCGGAGGTCGAGGAGGACGCCTGTGATGCGGAGGAGCGCGAGGCTCGCTCTGTGTCCTACTGCCCTCTGCGCCAGGAGTCCAGTAGCCAGCAGGTGGCGCTGCTGCGACGCTCGGACAGCAGTTTCTGGGGCTGGCTAAGCCCGTTCGCGCTGCTGGGTGGCCTAGCGGGCCCCGCGGACAGGTGAGACGCAAGCACCCTGGGCCGACCTTTAGGGAGGAGAGCCGCAGGGCCACTGAGCACTGACGTCCCCGGTCCGTAGGAAGCGTGGTGCCCCGGAAGAACGGTGTGTGTTGGAGACGCGGCGGCGACCACCGCGCCGAGGGGGCTGTGCGCGCTGCGAGATCCTGTTCTGTAAGAAATGCAAGAGCTTGCATAGCCACCCGACCTACATAGAGCACTGTATTCTGGAGCACCCTGACCCGGGTAATGCGGAGGCCGCTGGGAGTTCTGAGCTCATCTTCTCCCAACCTCTGGGCCCGCAATGCTCCAAACTCTTCTATCTCTAGTGCGGCCCGCAGAGCTGTCCTTTCAAGCCGACGGCCCTAGCGCCTCCTTCCGTTAAGAAGGCCCACTGTCGGTTCACGGTTCCACCTGTTGTCTCTCCGAACTACAACAGAACCTGGCCACTACTCCCCCAGACAATACCCATCACCTACAGCCCTCCTGACCCACGCCTCCAACACAGCCTCACGTGCATTTTTTTCAGGTCCGTCGGAACAGGCGAATAGAGGCATCGCCTGGAGAAAAATAGCCTCGGAATTCCCTCAGCCCTCTAAGAAATTGTTTCTTTCCCTCAAACCCCTCAATAAAGTCTTGAATCAGAGTCGCCTGAGGTGGAGTGGAGTGATAAAGACGGGACTTCTCTCTCTTGAGTACAACCCAGAAAGCAGCGGGCTAGCAGGGAGGTTCCTTCATGGTCTCCTCGGGACAGGGCAAAGCAACTGGTAGTCAAAGGCCATTCTGTCCACCGCACAGAGAAGAAAGGAGGGCACAGGGCCAGCAATGCCTCTGGGAAACTGCAGGCTACTCCCATGCCAAATCATTCTCCCCTCCCTGAGAGCTGGCTCGCGGTGGTCACTGTGTGTATACAGAGGCACTGGGAGGTGGAGGAGGAGGAGGCAGGGCGGGATGCAGACCCAGATGCTAAAATTAATACAGAGACTGGCTCAGACAAAAGGGGGAAAGCTGGGGAGCTGGTTCCTTCTCCAGGAATCCCAGCTATTCTTGGCCAGACAGTGTGCGCTTCGGAATGCTGCTGCGTGTGTGGCCTGGAGAATGGGGCCATTGAGAGCAAACAGGCCTCACCCAACCTGCAGAACACTACGGAGGGTTGCATTCCTAGTGCCTGCGATGGGCAGACCCCCGAAGGGCCCTCTGCCATCTTCCTGCTGCACGAGTCGTCCATCTGGAAGGCAAACTGGGTGAAGACGGTCTGCTTTTGGAAGAGAGATGCACCCCCCCCATGACAACCATACACAGCCGCTGTCCCTTAGTTGAATGTAAGAGCATGGCCCTTGTGTCTCAAGCACTCTGAACCTATCTGAGAGGGAGGAAGAGTCTGCCCAGAGAAGACTGCTACACCTCTAGGCTGGCCAGCTGAGGGGTGATTCTTCATCACCCCAGACAAAATGTCAGGCCCAGTAGGACCACATTCCGCTCTGCTCAGCTCCTTAATTCAACAAAGAGCCTCAGAGTGGAGAGGAGCCTTCACCACACCCAACTTGCCGAGGGTGGGAGGTAGGGTGGAGTCTCGTGGTATAATTCGTGATTTCCCAAGAGCTGGGCCTGAAAGGCATAGAACGGGGAGGGTCCTGCGGAGTAGTCCTCACCCCAGTTGAGATTTGCATCTTCTCTGGGACTCGGCACTGTGGGCGTGGGACTGCACCTTCATCAGAACAGAATGCCCTCGGGAGTGGAAAGGAAAGAGGTCCTTGAGGGGAGAGGCTATGGCAGCCCTATTTTTGTTTCTCCTTCGACCACGGAAATAAATGCAGGCTTCCTGCTGGAGCCGGTGCTATAGGGAAGTTCCTGCGAGGTTCAAGGACTTCCTAGACAGACCCCGCCCCTCAGGCGGGGGCAACCACTGTTCATTCAGTATGGGGAGCCTTCAGAACAGGGCACCTCCCGAGTTGGCATTCCAACAGCCCATCCAGGACAGCTCTGTAGCCCAGCGGCCAGATCTGGTCACCCGCAGTTTGGCTTGATCCAGGTGCCAGTAGTGGTCATCTCTGAAGAAGACGACGGAGCCATCCGGCCTTGGCAGGGCACCGCTGACCTCCTCAGGGACCCCGGCCCAGTCCCTCAGGCTGCGGGGATAGTAGGGCTCCACTTGCTTCCCCCCTCGAGCCAGCACGTAGTAGCGGGCGCCCTTGAAGAGGATAAGGCGGCGCAGAGGCGGGAAGAAGAGAGCAGCGTCCGGGTGTCTGGGCAGACCTCCACTCCGGCACAGCTGTGAGTGCCCCCCCACAGACTTCGCGCCCTGGAACCTCCAACATCGACTCCCTGTGGGGCATTGAGAGAGCCAGGGTGAGCTGGAGGCGCTCACTCATCGGCCTTCCACTCAATCTCTGTCCACTTGGTCCCTACCCTTTCTCAGAGCCAGTCAAAGTGTGGCTAAGAACTAGAAGTACACCGTTGAGGGGAACCGGCTATGGCCTAGACTCCCAGCAGGTGCCAGCATAGAGCAGACTGAACGAACCCATCTATCCCAGGCTGGGGAGGGTAGGAGGGTGTTGGGGAAGAGGGTGTGTGTGTGGGGGGGGGTGGAGGCAGGACAGGAATGGAAGATTGAGAAGGCTTGAATTTTTCATCACTCCCGACTACTAATAGTTCCCCGAGGGAAAAGGTGTCTGTTTTGCTGACCACTGTGTCTCCAGTCCATCGCTCTCCCTGTGCCTAGGACACGAGGTTCTCAGCACTGGTTGAGGGAGCGCTGCTCAACACAGTATACCAGGCGTCCAGTTTTGTGCTCTCCACCCTTGAGTCATTGACTTTTATCTAGCCTCCCCATCACGCCTGCGCATTGCCCCTCTCCCTAGGCAGGGAATGCAAGTTCCAGAAGCTACGTGGCACGCCATCCTCACACTGCCAGCATGCCAGGGCAGACACCTCCGGATTTTCTGCAGACCTGCAGACCGGAGAGCTTTCCTCCCGCTACACGTGTCTACATGGGACAACTTGGACACCTGCTACTTCTAACTCCATCCCCGAAAGGAGTCCTTCCTGGGCCACAGGCTCAACAGCGAGTTCCACTAAGGACTCATTGTTGGGGACACCCTCCCCCATCTCAGTCTTAGCTGACTCAGGCTGATACCTTTGAAGAAGTAGAAGTCTCCATCTTCCAGTGACACTGCAGCAGCCTCAATATTGGGGGGCAGCCCAGGCCACCTTTTCTGGAGTGGACGGGGCTCTGAAACATTGCCATCAGCTGTGACTTCCCAGAAGTGGCTCCCTTTGAAGACGTACAGTCGCCATTGCCCATCTGTCCCGAGACAAGAGATGTGAAGAAAGGCCTTTGGCCTCCCTGCCGACTTTGAGGAGGGGGTGCTGCTCTGGATCCGATTTTCTAGACAAGCTGAAGGAGGAGGGCTGAGGAAAGCATGAGTTCTGTGCTGGGCCTGAGCTTGACCCCGCCCGCCACTCCAGAAAAGCACGTAATTCCCGATATCTATATTCAAGATACCTCCATTCTCCACACCTTGTACTTCAGTTCTGGGAGCCCTAGAGATGTGGAGGAGGAAAAAAAGACACCAGGCATGGCTGGGACCATCTTACCTGCTGTGATGGCATCGAAGGAAGAGTGACAGTATTTAGGACTTCTGGTTTCCGGGCGTATCCTCCGGGAGTTGTGAGGGTCCCAGGCCTCAAAGTCAGTGTATAGCTTTCCGGGGAGTTGGGTGGCCACTGAGCGTCCTATAGGCTTCCCTTAGGAATAAAGAAGAGAGATGGCTGACATGGGTGGGGTACATGGAGGGCTCAAAACCCTTCCCTCTGCTCTGCCCATGATCTGAGACCCAAGGAAGGAGAGAGAAGGGGCAAGTGCAGCCCTGACTGTTGGGTTTCAGCAAGAGCGCACTAACCCAGCAATCTCCTCTCCCACCCAACAGCCCAGGAAAGAGATAACGTGAGATTGGGAGACCAAACAAGCATTCTGAGCTAAAGACAGAGTTTTGCACTCATGAGTTGCTTGGAACTGATGGAGAAAATGGGGGAAAAGCAGAGCCTGCGTATATTCCGATTTCAAGGACGTCTGGGGCTTTAGGACAGAGAAGGACTGATAGGAACAAGGAAGTGACGGGGGAATCCTATTTGAGGAGCCAGAGTCCGAGAACTGAAGACCCTATGGGGAAAGGGTAGAGCCAGTAGCGGGCTGGGGTGCTCACCATACAGGCTCTGTACCGCCAGCACGTCGTCCCAGCTGAGCAGGGCGTCGCGGCCCAACTTCTTATAGTAGGGCGCCATGAGCGCGCGCGGTGCTGGCGAGTGCGCGAGGCCGAGCGTGTGGCCGATCTCGTGCGCCAGCACCACGAACAGGTTGCGCCCAAGGCGACGACGACTCAGGGACCAACGCTCATCTAGGTCGAAATGCGCTTCGCCCCTGCGGGGCAGGAAGGCGTGCGCCAGAGCGCCCCCTGCGAGCGTGACACGAAGGGTTGGGGCGAGCAGGGACCAGGGGCTCCCTCCCGCAGGCACCCTGCCCCCACGTGGGGGGTGTGGCTGCCATCTACTATCCTCCCTAGTATGATAGGTGCAGGAGTGCCGGCAGGTGAGCAGATGACTAAGCAGTGGACTTGTACCAGAAGTGCACTGTAGACTCGCCTAGGGGCCAAACTGCCTGGTTTCCAATACTAAAATTACCATTTACTAGCCGTGTGGTCTTGGGCAGACAGCTTAATCTCCCTGTGTTAAACTTCCTGATCGAAAAATGGGCATGGCGATGAAGAGCTTCTTCCTCATAGGAACAAGCGTGTGTCACACTTGATTCTTAAAACAGTGCCTCGTCTAGGCGCTATTAATATAGGTCACCTCTGGAAGAGGGATGGTAAGGCTTTGTGCTGTTTCCTGACCTGCGCTTGCTGTGTTATGTTCAGGAGTCGGGAAACTGAACACTATGTACTTCTATGTGTATGCACATTTTCTTTTTTTTTTTTAAAGTGGTTTATTTTTTTTAAAAAAAGGTGGTTTATGAGCTGGGCAATGGCGGCCCAAGCCTTTAATCCCAGCACTTGGGAGGCAGAGACAGGTGGATCTTTGTGAGTTCGAGGCCAGCCTGGTCTATGAGACCAACCTGGTCTACAGAGTGAACTTCAAGGCAACCAGGGCTACACAGAGAAACCCTATCTCAAAACAAAAACAAAAATGAAAGCAAAAACAAAGGGGCTTTTATGGCTGGGCATGGCGATGCATGCCTCTAATCTCTGGCTCTCAGGTGGCAAAGGCAGATGATCTCTTCAAGTTCCAGGCCAGTCTGGTCTACAAAGGGAATTCAAGGCCAGCCCGGATTATGTAGTGAGACCCTGTTTTTTGTTTTTGTTTTTTAAAGTATGTGTGTCAAGTGTATCATATGGAAGACAACTTGAGGGACTCAGGTCTTACATTCTGCCACTTGGGTCCCAGGGATCAAACAGTCTGCATGCAGGCTGGAGAGTGAGGGCAAGCATCTTTACCCACTGAGCCATCTCACCCCCCCCACTTCTTTTGGACAGGGTCTTATGCTGACCTGGTGTGTGTGTGTGTGTGTGTGTGTGTGTGTGTGTGTGTGTGTGTGCGTGTGCGCGCGCTCGCGTGTGTCCATTTGTGCAGGCCAGAGGTTGATGGTTGATG